CCACCAGGAGTGTTTGCAGCAATGTAGCTGGCAGCTGCGAGGCTATAGGGAAACTTCTTAGGTCTATGTTGTGGCATTTGAGAACAGAACGGGGTGGGCATGGGTGGGAAGAAAATGGGCTAGGGCCAGGCCAAGGAGGGTCCATGGGGAGGTGGTAGCCAGAAGCAAGGGGCTTAGAGGCCCTGCGTGGAGGTGGCCCACAGCAGGTGGGAGGTATTTTTAGGAAGGCTCAGGTGCAGACAGACATTAGGCACCCTGGCCCGACAGGTGGTTAATATTTAATCCCTTCCTTAATCATTAACTCCCTGACTGGCTGGAGAGAAATTGAACTGTTGTCAAATCAGTAACCACAGGCTGGGAACAATGTCCACAGATCTCATTGCCTCTCCCATAGCTGTGAATGCTGGCCAAGTGGAGTCAGCCCTGGCCTTGGGGGCCCTGGTTCATCTCCTTCCCATGGTGACCTCAGGACATGGTGGGAGTATGAGGTCATGATCACCCTCTAACCCCTGAGGCACTTACTGGTAGGGAGCAGCAGGGGCCTGGAGGTGGTGTCCACTCAAGTGAAAGGATTCCAGGCCCTGCTTCCAGGCTCTGTGACCTTCGGTAAGTCACGTAGCCTCTCTGAACCTCAGTTTCCTCATCTGTGCAATGAGGATAAGTATTATTATCTCAAAGGATTGTTATGAGATTTGAATGAGATATGGTGTACAAGGAAGTACTTTGTAAGCCGAAGACTGAGACTGCAAACAAGTTAGAGAAAGTACAGATGGAAAGATAGAGTAGATTTCAAAGATGAAAGAGGAAAGCTAGAGTGCTCTGGCTTCTATTCACTTAAATGCAGTTATTTTTCAATTCAGTTGGTTTTAATTCAGGTCAGTGAGTGTGTATGGGCAAGGCCATGTCTCCAGCCCTAAAATGGGCTTTGGGCATAATTTGAAAAGGAGTCAGCCTTGCAGAGAGTAAGGGTGACCAAACTCCAGGCTTGAACCAGAACAAGATGGGCAGTGTTTGTGATATAGGTCAGCAGGTCAGGGCTGCAGGGTCAGCGGGGAGGGGGAGGGGGTAGGCAGCGTGAGCTGGAGGGTCAGAGCAGGCTTCAAGGGTGAGGCGGGCAGGGGAGTATCTTGAGGGATAAGTAGGAGCTGGGTGTGTAGCAGGAGGGAGGACTCCTGTGTGCATGCTGGCATGTACCCAGGGCATTTAGGCACAAGAACTCATTCATATAAGCAGAACGTGCAAAGGTGTACACCAGTCATGCTTACACACACACTCACACATGGATGTATACAGTGACCCATGGGTGTGTGGACACACACATACAGGCGCACCCTGGAGCATGTATGCGCCTCCTCTCCCAGCTAGCCCTGAGACCGGCTGTGGAACTCAGCATTTCTGAGCCTGGCTGACACTAGAGGAATGAAGTCTCCAGGGTGCACAAAGCCATGAGGTCTGCCCCAAAGCAGAGTTACTTTTCCTCTATCCCCTTTTTTAGCAAAGGTGCAGCCGCAGACCCATGTGAGTGTGAAAGAGCTTCAGGCAGAATTCAGAATCAGCATGGGGATCCGTACACATCCTCCAGAAGGGACAAGAAACGGAGAGGAGGGGGGTGGAGAGACCAGGCTGAGGCAGGCCCGGGGGCACCAGGCCCAGGTGGGTGTGGAGCTGGCCTTTGGGAGGGAGGGGCTAGAGGGGCAGAGAGAGGTCCTGGGGAGCTACTAGAATCTCCAAGAGCCGAGCTTCCAGCCCTTGCTGGCTGTCCCACCCACATCTCATGCTCAGGCTGGGACTAGGCCCCCAGAGCCAAAAAGAAGCCAGGCAGAGACTCCTCAGAAACTGGTCTGAGGGTTCATAGAAATAGAATTCTATTCTATTCCCCTATGTAGTCCTTTCCTTTAGGGCTATATAGCGGCCTGGGATAATGGTCCTTCTCTGAGCTCTCTAGGCAACTACTAAGACTGTTTAGGAAGCCAGTCCTGATCCATGGTCCCTGCCCTAAGGAGCTTCTAGTGCAGTATAGCCAGGACAGGATATAAAAGGTTCACATACTGCCTGGTCTGTGAGGGGCCTAACAGAGGCATAGAGACCACCAGGGGCAGGCCATTGGTGGTTTAGAGCCCAGGCTCTGGACCCAAACTGCCAGAGCCTAAATCCTGCTTCTGTCTGTTTCCAAAAATGTCACTTTGGGCCTGTTACTTACCCTCTCTGTGCCTCAGTTTCTTGTGTATAACGTGGAGATGATAATAATAAAGTACTTGCCACTTGTGGTTGTTGCAAGGGTTAAATTAGACACAGGGCCCAGCATAGTGCCTGGCACATGATAAGTGCTGGAGTTGTTTGAAGAAAGAGAACGTGTTTCTGACTTGCATGTTCAGGAAAGCTTCCTGGAGGAGGAGACATGTGAGCAGGCCCTTGAAGAACCAGCAGGGTTTTTACCCTATGGAGGGGCCCCGGTGAGCAGAAGCAAAGAAGGACATGGCATGTTTGGGGGACATGAGGAATTCCGCGTGGCCATAGCCACTATCTAGAAGATGGGAGCAGGGGTAGTGTTTGGGGTCTAGAGTGTTTGGGGAAATTTAGGAATGTTTGGCTATCCTGAAGCATTGAGAACTCAGGGAAGTTCATGAGTGGGACCCTAACAACACTAAGGCTGAGCTTTGGCAGCAAAGAGCAGTCCTCGTTGGAGGGAGAAGCTCAGGCAGAAGGCCTTCAGAGGAACAGGAGCCCTTTAGGAGGCAGGTCCCGAGGCTCTGGGCTGGGGTGGTCTGGGAGGCTGGCCTGTGACCAGCAGAGAACTACAAGTGCTGAATCCTCATCTGTGGGTCTTTCTCCCTAGGTGGACTCAAAACACTCCCTCCATGAAGTGCCCTCACAGCAGCCTTTGAGCATGCTCTTTGAGGCCTCTTACAGCCCACACATTCTATGGGTCTGGCCCGGCAACCTTGGCAGGTCACACCATTTCTCCTGCTTTTATTTTTTCCTCTGTCACTGAGCCTAGGCATCCTGTCCACCTGGGATGTATAAGCCCCAAGGGGAGGCCCTGCTGCTTTTCTGGCCAAGGTCATGCCAAAGGTTGGGCAGAGAGGTTCAGAGCAGGGAAGGACCCAGGCCATAGCTTCATCTCTGTTTTCCTGGGGTGGCCCCTCAGCTTATCTTAGTCGGGGCAAGGCTGGGGTGAGCAAGGAAGAGATACTCCTTCAACGGTCAGATAGTGTGACAGGGTGATAAAGGGCGCAGGCCCAGAAACTGGCTTAGAGAGGGAGGGACAAGCAAGGCTGTCACTGTCCTGCTCCCCTCCCCCACCCCCATTGCACCCTCTGGGCCAACTGGGTACAGCCCCGGCCTTGCACCATGCCTACCACCCATGGGGCAGGAGGAGGGAGAAGAGGCCACAGGAGTGGGTGTTTGAAGGTTGGTTGGTGGTGGCCTTTGTACATTGTCTCAGGGGGCAGAGGCCAGGCTACAGGCAAAAGAAAGGGAGACCGACTTGTCCTGGTTTGCTAGGGCCTTCCCAATTTTAACACTGAAAGTTTGTCCTAGAAAATCCCTTAGTCCTGTGCAGATCAGGATGGTTTGCCTGGGAATGTCTATGCTTTAAACGAAAAGTCCCTTATCCCAGGAAATCCCTCGGTCCCAGGGAAACAGGGACAGTTGGTCATGCTAGGAGTAAAAAAGAGTGAGTCTGGGGGTGTGAGGGAACTAAGATGAGGGGAGCAGACAGCTCCTTTCCGAGTTTGCATATCCCTGATTCTTAACCATGTCCACTTATCCTCACTACACACCCTGTATGAGGAGATGGCTCAGGTTTTATCTTGAGTTGACAAATCTGGAAGTTGGGAGCTGCTTCCCCAGAGGGCTCATTTGCCAGGCTGAGGCTGCATGGCTGGAGAGCTCATGTGAGAACGCTGCCTGCTCTCTGCCCTCTGAGAGGTTCAGAGGTAGAACTGGGCCGGAGTTAGGCAGGTAGGGGCGGGTGGGGGGTTCTGTGCCTCACGACTTACTGCTCTGGATCCTGAGCTGCTGCAGCACCACAGATATAACCAGCAGCCAGCTCTCTGAGTTCTGGTTTTGCTGAAAATCAAAATCAGGGCACCTGCCTGGTTTGGAGGTATAGTTAGAAGGCTCCGCTCAGAGTCTCTGTCCCCCTGGCCAACCTCAGGGCACCTATTAACTTGGCTCTGCCCTGTGTGTGCCTCTGATGGCCAGAGCAGTTTCTGGGGACAGGATGGGAAAGCTGTCAGGTTGGTGGGGGGTTAGTCGGGGATACTTCCCTGGAAAGAGCTCAAAATAAGATAGAGATGCCAAATGGAGACTTCCTGTAGCCTGTAGTTCAGTCCGAGGCCTCCCTGCCTCCCAACTTCAGGGCTTGATTTTATCCCATACTCACCCTGGAAAAAGAACGGACTTTCCTTACCTGGGATATGGAAATCCCAAAGACCTTTGTCCCCAGCACCTCTGTCCTCAGAAGGGCACTGGCCAGTCAATATGGGGCCAAAGCCCAATGGGGGAGGTGAGGGTGGGGTCTGGGGGAGGAAATAGAGCCTCCGGGAAGGGAAAGGCCTTGGACTTTCTGTTGGAGGCTGGGCCTAAAGGGATGAGAGAAGAAAACTGTATCCGAAGCATCCCCTAAGACAGCTCCCCATAAATTAATTCAGTCGATGCAGGTATTTGAGAGACTCCGCTAGGCTCTGGGGAAGCATCTGAACCAGACGCCCACAGAGCATATATTTCTACCCCACTTCCCCTCCCAAGGATTCCAGAGTTGGTTGGGTGGGCAAACTCTGTTGGTGAAGTCAGCTGTGGTCCTGCTAGTAACATCAGGGTTGGCAAATGGGCTAAATCGAGCCAACTGCATTCTGACTCTGGGCTCCATTGCTTCCAGAAAGTCTTCCGTGCCCCTCTACTCCCCCAGCCCCTCCCAAGGTAGACGTCTGCTTATAATTCACCTCATTTTACATTGGATCACACACCCTAATGCTTTTGCCTGTTCACTTCCGCAGTCCCTCCCCGCAAGTCGTGGTCCCTGTCTGGTTACCTCTGAACCGCCAGTGCCTCACAGGCGAAATGCTCAGAAGACATCTGGAACATTAATGTGTGGTAAGCCATGGGACCCCCAAGAGTGACCATGAAGTTTCAGACTGGTGAGGGCCCTGGAGAGGGGGCCGGATAAGGGAGCTTAGGAGCAGCCCAGGAGCCTCGTCTAGGTGTCCTGGGGAAGAGCCAGGAAGGGTGCTGCAGGTGGGCTGATTCTGGGGCCATTTGTGTCTCTAACTCAGCCTTTCCTCACTCTCACCCTAGACTCAGCCACGAGACCAAACTGTGTGAACAAATGGTGCTGATGGTCCAGGGGCTGGGACGGAATCCCCCCAGACAGGCCGACCAAAGGGTTCCATAGCCAACTTCCTAGGTCTGCAGGGAGCCACAGGGAAGGGGGCCCAAGTTGCAGGCAGGGGAGAGGCTGGGGGCAGGGCTACCACTTGGGGTGTGGCCGAGGGGAGAGGTGCTGAGGGCAGGGGAGCCAGGCTTGGTTGGCCTTTGAAGGACAGGCCTTCCTGGGGAGGAAACTTTAATCGCCCCCAATTAAACCATTGCCGGAAGCTTTTAACAGCCCCATACAGCCTTTCAAGGACCACCCTTTTGTTAGGCAGGCAAGCTGTTATGCAAAAAGAGAGTGGGCCAGGGCGCCTGACCACTCACCCCAGGCCCCACGGCCAGCCAGCCCCAAAGTCCAGTCAGCCTCCAAAGAGGCTGCTTGTTTGCGAATCAAAGGCTGGGCACCCGGCTTTGATCTGGGGAAACCCAACCCTTCCCTGCCTCCCCAGCTTCAGTCCCCCTGCTGAGGCTGTGAGGCCTTCGCTCCCCCAGTTTCTAGATCTAGGGGCAGCCAGGCCGGTTTCTGGGATTCTGGGAGCCTGCCCTTGCCCCTTACTTCAAGAAGTAGGTCTGGGGGGATGGCGGAAGCTTTCACTGCTCCCCCTGCCCCGGTCCCGGTCAGGAAATCCTGGCCCCACCTCCTCAGGCTGTTCTTAATGTCTTCAAGGCCCTTGTGAGAGAGTGTGGTCCTCAGGTGGGTGTCATCTGGGACCTTTTTAGAAATGAAGACTCTCGGGCCTACCCTAGACCTACTGGGTCAGAATCTACTTTTTAAGAAACCCGAGGTGAAGTTTGAGAAGTACTGCTCTAGTGTCTTCTCTCTTGATCTCCCCCCACCCTCCACCAAAAGCAAGAGAAAGTACAGGATGACATTAGCAATGTTAGATTATGGGCAATACAGCCTTCAGCTTTCCAAATTTTCTACAACATATAATTTCTAAAAACATCAATGACAAAGCCCTTTCTATAGATAGGAGCTTCTGGAGGACCCCAAATGGCAGACTTCCATTTGGTCATTTGGTTAACATCGAAAACCTCCACCCTTGATTTCTACATCTGCTCCCTCATTTCATCCTCAGAACTGCCTAAGGAAGACAGGACAAGCATCCCCATTATATAGAAGAAGAAATAGAAGCCCAGGAGAGTTTGTGGACTGACTTGAATCAGTGGCTGCGTTAAGGGGGAAATTCAGGAAACCCATTCGGGGCCTCCCTAACTCTCAGATTCAGCAGGGCTGCCACAGACAGCTGTGAAGTGTGTACACTGCACAAAGGTGCCCGGCCTGCGGGTGGATGAGGAGGCTGACATACAGCTCCCACTCCACTCGCCAAGAGTGCCCTGATGTGGACAGGGCTGCATGTGCTAGAGGAAGAAGAGCTTTTCTTCTAATTTACGCAAAAACGCCATAGAGGCAAGCAAAAGCCAGAAGCTTCCAGAATTTCCTATTTCTCATCTCTTCCTCTTCACAAAAGCTGCCAGTCAACAAGCACCTACTATGTGCCAGCCTTCAAGCTTAGTGCTTTTCTTTCATGATCCCCAGGACAATTCTCTGACTCAGACTCCTGGATAAAAACCACTCCTTCTGCTTCTTTTCTTGACACTGGTTACTGCAAAACCAAACAAGACCCAGAGCACACTCCACATGAGTCAGATCCTGTTGGGACAAAGGTCTCGCTCAGCTGACCCCAGGATGAACGGCCTGGCTCATCCAGAAGAACACCAGTAGGGGTTAGTCTAGACACATTTTCTGGACATTCTCAGGTCTTTGAACCTTTGTCCCATCTGGGGCAATTTTTGAGTACCTGAGGGGTACTGAACAAACCCACCTCGCTCTCCCTCCAAGGTTCCACAGCAGGCTTAGCACTTGGAGAAAGGCAGCAGGCAGGGTGTTTAGACACCATGGGGCTTTGGGGCAGCAAGGTGAGGAAGATAGTTTGGTGCTCAAGCCTTTGAGAGCAACGGTCAGCGAGCTTCTGTGAAGGGTCACAGAGTAAACATTTCAGGCTGGTCTCTGTCACAGCTACTCAGCTCTTCCCCGGTCGTGCACAGACAACCAGAGACTTATCTAAATGAATGAGTGTGACTGTGTTCCGATAAAACTTTATGTATGCACACTGAAATTTGAATTTTATGTGATTTCCACATGTATTAACATTTTTATACTTTTTTTGATTTTTATTTTCCAACCATGTAAATACCATTCTAGTCCTTGGGTTGCACAAAAGCTGACTGATAGCAGAATATGGCCTGCAGGGCCATGGTGTGCTGGCCCCAGGTCGAGAGCAAAGGATGGTCATCAGTCTTGGATTCAAGTCTTGGTTATTTCATTAACCGAGGGTGGCATTTGGGGAAAGTTGCTAAGCCTGTTTCCTCTCTGTCAAATAGGGGTGGCAGTGTCTGTCATTCAGGGGGTAAGTGAGATTAAATGCAAAAGCACTTCCTAACTTCAGTGATTGGTATGCAGTAGGCACTCCCTAACGTGAGCAATGCACACTGCAGCAGGCTGTTTGGAGGTCAGTGGGGGAGGGGGCTGGAGAGGCCAGGGACCCTTTCTGGAGAAGGTCTGGGGTAAGCTGGGCCTTGATTGATGTGAGAGGTCTGGCCAAGGAAACTGGGCTCAATTCTAGGGTCTGGAATGGCCACTGAAGGTTCTGAAAAAGAGACCCTTCAAAGTGGGGCATAAGAAGGTCCATCTGCAAGGACTGCCTGGAGGGAGGGACACTGGGGAAACACCATGGGCCTGGGAGACCTGCGATGAAGTTACATGGATGAGGCCAGGTGATTGGGAGCTGAGGGGGCAGGGGTAGGGGTGGTTATTAAGGGAGTGTCAGAGATGACAACACAGCCAGGTGTTGTGTTTTGTTGTTAACCAACTGCAGGTACTAAATTAGCCCCCTTTTTAACTGCAAGCACATTTCCAGGTTAATAATTTGAGGGGGCCTCCTATTTTGCTGATCTAGCAGCCCATCTTCCCCCTCCCCCACCCCACCCACTATGGCAATGCCATGTTGTTGTAGACACCAGTGCCTTTGCTCCCCTGTACTGAGTTGCTCAAGGGTAGATTCCTGAACAAAGCTGAGCCATTTGGAGTCCTTCCCTGAGATTTTGTTAACTTGGTATCAGAGAGACTATGAATAAGTCCCTCTCCGGTGGAGGGAACATCAAGATGTGAAATGCAGGCCCAGCCTGCAGCTGTGTTCCCTGTCATGAAGGAGAAGTCAGAGAATCAGTGGGAGAAAGATGTTGATCCCAACAGGAAGCAGAGATGAGAAGCTTAGTGTGAATCTCTTGAAGGACCAAGTTCCTGGCCTTTGTGCGTGATTTGGTGGTTCAGTTTCTCCTCTGATTGTAGGAGATATCCAAAATCCTTCAAATAAACTCCTCTTTTTGTAAAACTAGTTTGAGTTTCTTATCACTCGCAAATGAAGAACACTGCTGACAAAATGCATCATCACAGCCTTTTTATCCATAATTTATTGTGCAATTGCTGTATGCTGCTAGACACTAGGTACGTGCCTTACCTCCATTACTTAATAGTATAATCCTCAGTCATGCTGTGACCTACGGGTACTATCATCTCCATTTTAGAGGTGATAAAACTGAGGTTCCAGTTCCACTAGACACTTAAATGGGGTGCTCCTCAGGCCTTGGGACTGGTCCTCTTTGATTAGCATTAATTACTCTCTCCCAGGCAATCTTGTTCATTCTCATGTTAATTCCATTTCTACAATTCCCATCTTCAATCTAGACCTCTTTAAACTCTAGGCTCATGTATTCAGCTGCCTACTCGATATAGATATTTCAAACATAGATCTCTAAAACTATGCTCCTCCTACCCCTCCTCCCAGTGAATCTGTCCCTTCCCTGGAGCTTCGTCTTTCAGTAACTAGTCTTACACTCCGCCCAGTCTTACACTCCCACATCAGAAACCCGAGAGTTATACCGGACACCACCTACTTTACCTCCATAACCACCCTATCACCAATTCCTGTTATACCCACACCCTAAGCATGCCTCAGCTCTGCTCACTCCTCTCCAGTTCCACCTTCTCTTCCTAGTCCAACCATGTCCCCTCTCCTTTGAAAGATAGCCTCCTCCATAGTCTCTCGAATCCACTCCAAGCCATTATGCGTTCAGCTTCTGGAGATATTTGTGAAAGAGCTCTAACTATTACCCCCCACCCCCCACCCCCAAACACACTCCTTAAAACATCTCAATGGTTCTAGTTGTAAGTCTTTCCCAAGGCCTTTGTGGGTGCACCGGATCTGGCCATTTCTACTCTCCAAACTTACCTTGAGTCTCTCTTTTGTTCACTCACTATGGACTCCTAGCAGTACAAGTACCAAACTCTTCTGACCTCAGGGCCTTTATACATGCTATTTCTGCTGTCTGTACAGTGTTCTCTACCTCTACTTCTTCAGCTTTTATCATTCCTAGGTATCCTTCAGGTCCTGGCAGAAACCTCAGGGATACCTTCTTTTAGCCCTCCAGGAAATATTATTATCCCACAGCACCCTTCACTCTCTGTAGCACTCAATAATCCTATGATTGGATATGCATTTAATATTTGTCTCCCTTGCTAACCTGTAACTCTGAGGGCAGGGGCCAGATCTATTTTATTCATCACTGTACCTGCAGCACCCCGCAGTTTCAGGCACAGAGCAGACACTCAGAAGTATTTGCTGAATGAATGAGTAAAATGACAGAGACTCAGAGAGGACCCCTGACTTGAGACCCAGGGTCACACTGCTAATGATGGAGGAGGCTGGGCAGCAACCCCAATCTCTCAGGCTCTGAAGTGCGCTCTGTTAACTTCCGTGCAATATTGGCACCTTTGGGGGATCCAGGAAGGAAGAGGTTGAGAAGCTGGCCTCAGGTCCTCATACTCATTAGAAAGGATGCGGGAAGCAAGGGGGGTCTGGGGGTGGGAATCAATCTCCTGCCAAATGGAATCAGGCTGAAGGTCAGGAGAGTCCAGCACCCAGGAACCCCTGTACGTGCTTTGCCTGTGTTGCCTCATTTAATCCCCTGCTAGCCATGCAAAGCGAGCTTATTATCTTTTGTTACAGACAAGGAAATGGAGCTTCAGAGAGAGAAAGTAACTTGCCCATAGTCTCCCAGCTAGCAAATATCAGAACAAGGATCTGAATCTGGAACTTGAGACTAAGAAATCAGCTATATGGGACAATCAGTGCAGAAAAAATGGCAGGACAGGTGCCGCAGCTGGACTTCAGGGAGAGCCCGCAGCGCGGCCACCCTCCCTCCATCACCTCACCCCTGCGGGCCATCCTTCAGGACATCTTTTTGAAATTCCAGAAGCTCTTGCAGGAAACCAAAGAGCCTTTCCATGCAATCCATCAGGTCGCCAGACCCTCCCAGGCTGGCGCCTACCTC